TGGCATACTCAAACCCCCTCACTACGATAAGGTGGAGACACCAACAAGGGGGGCATCATCTATGAGCAGAAAAATCTGTACACAGATGCAAGTGAGGATCGAACCCAGAACCTTCTGAATGGGTATAACAGCTTATCCCAGGACCTTTTTCTTAAGGACCTATGCTAAGTGGCTCTACTGTTGCTCCCAGCTCAGTCGCCATGTTAATATGGCTGCTGGTAGACAAATGAAAGAACATGGGGAGTGGCACGATGACAATGCAGAATTTCACATAAATCCATCAGTTGGTTCAGACATACAGTGAGGATAGCACATATGGATGATAAACACGGGGGTCCCATAATCTTGCCTGTTTCCACTGAAAAACTGCTTCCTCCTTGGAATTTTTTTCTTAAAATGGCAATTACTGTGAGAACTTTTTCCCCTAAAGAATGTACTACCACTGGACAGGCTACCCTCCACAGTGCGACCTATCTTAAAAACAGATATGCTGTTAGCTGTGCTAACCTGAAAGCCTCCTTTGCATTAAGCACATGTCCGTTATCATCTGTGTAGTCGAGTTTAACATCTGGTCTGTAGCCCTCCTCTTCTTCTTTGAAGTCTAAGGTCGGACCACTGTACTGTTCGCGATGCCCAAACTTTTCATCATCTCTGAAATAATAAAGCAATGCTGTACATTAAATTCCGTAATTAGTCTTGCTTGCTTACTTCATCCTGTCTGACCATCGTGTACACCTCCATAATACTCAAGTGGGTCAATCCCGACAGACGAGACAAGATTTGCAATTCAGTTATAGAGGAAATGACAAAGTATTCAAAGCTCACATATTCTTTACCCTTCAAAATTTCCTACTCTACTCCATAATCTAAGCAAGTGGCCAACCCTTGTGCCCATGACAACTCTCTCCCCTAAGGCCTGCGGCAGAGAAGACTTGACAGCTACAGGACAACTTAGTAGACTCGGTCTGCAGCCACCTGCTAACGCTGGTTTCTCGCTTGCAGACTTTTATACCCTGAAGATGGAGGCGATACATTCCTCCAAAACATAGGTTTACACAATATCTATACAGTGCCACATCCGAGAAGACGGCATTCTTCACGAGTGACATTCATTACATACCAAGACACTATACAGAAAAAAAAATGTGAAGTTATCCCTGTAACATACCATCGATGCTCCACATTTTCTAGACAATCAGGTCACAGATGGCGGTGAGGTTGTCAGCCTTATGCGCCAAGCTATCCCTGTTAACAGAATGTGGAGGCCCATAGGGTTGTGAAACATTAAGGCTCCCACATTTTCTAGACAATCAGCTCATCGATGGTGGTGAGGTTGTCAGCCTTACGCACCAGCCGCACTTTACCCCCCACAAAAATTCCTCATATTCATTTCTGTTAAGAGGCTCAGTTGACCCCAGGGCCACAGTGTATCTGGAAGAATTAGGTCAATTAAAAAAAAATTAATAACCTCGTTCGGACTTGAACCCATGACCTTCCAACTTGTAGCATAGTGCCTCAACCAACTATCCTACCGCTACTAATATTAAAATAGTAATGATTAATGTGTTTGTATTAAAACCCCTAACAAAACTGCAGTATACGATTAAATATGGTACAGCATTTCTGAAATCCTTAAAATATAAATGTACAATTAAAACTAATACAGAAGTGTCATGGTCTCTTAATTTGAATAGGCCTATGTTGTACATAAAGAATCTGCTAGTGACTCACCAATCTCAACTTCATTCCAAGCTCCACGTTTGCCTCCTTCCCGATGTTTCTTCTCTTCAATCATTTCCCTCTCAAAGCCCTGTAATGTAAATTTTGTATGAGATTAGCAAGATGCAAATGCGCAGCCCAAAAATTACCAATTCAATACTTTGAGATAGACTGAAATCTGAACTGCTTCATGCTGGTTTCCTGTTTGGTCTATTCTTTGACCCTGAAGATTCAGATGACATGTTCCCCTGGAAATTTGGATGATACCCAGAAGACAGAATTCTTCTGACTATACTGACCATCTTGAAACTTCTTTGCCAAAATGTCTTTTTAATATCATAGTATGCTTTAAAGTTACACATCTATTAGAAACATACTCTCATTCTGCCAAGCAATGTACACCTGCCAACTAATTCTGAGTTTGCAGTGAGAATACTGTGATGATTAACATTCAATTCACTTTGCAATGAATAAAATTAAAGAACTATTGCTTTTTCATTTAGTTATGTTCTGAGCTACTTATTCATCCTTATTTCAATTTCACATATAATTCCTAGTAACGTCTTTTCTACCCTTGTATCATGCACATGGTACAGGGAGAAAAAAGAAATAAAAGATGGGAAAAAAAAAGACTGGATTTGAGATTCTTGTAGAGGAGATTAAGAAAGGCACTATCTTCTGGGAAGTCACATCCTGTAAGTCCACTGACATTCCTTCAAAATGCTTATGGACCTTATCACATTATACAGAATTTTAATCCAGAAGGTACCACTTGTCAAGAAGAAGAAGAAAAAGGTTCTACCATCTCAACTGTCACATTCTTATTGTATAACAAGTGCTTTCATTTCTAGGATTTCTGTTGGATGTTTCCAGTTCAGTAATTTATATATCCATTATCATGGAATTCAACTGTAATTAAAATATATTCTAATTCTGTTGCAGCTGCAGTAAACAGCTGTACATGGGCAATGGGCTGTTCTAGTCTCTACATATGCTAAATCAAAGTGCCTTGCCAAGTGTACATTTATCTGTGGGTGGTTATATTGCACTCACAAGTAATTCCTGGTCATCCTCATCCCTGCTGCCAGGCAGACCATAAATGGGGATGTCACCCAACGTACGGCAGAATTCTGCTGTAGCATTCAGCACAATGGAACCACCTTCCATGCTTCCTTCTGAGCTTCTCTCCAGTACTGACTCTGCCACCTACAAACATCACAAATCACAAACAGTTAAATTATGTAGCTATACAGCATTCTGTTCTGTAGCATCCATAAAAGGTTAATTAGTTATGCCCTAATTTGAGGTTAGTGGCCAGCTCTATGCCACGCCCACACGGGGAAACAGCCCCTGGGGCCTATCTGACAGGAGGCCATAACAGGTCTCAATAACCAAAATACAAGAAAAGGATGATAGTATAAAAGAGTTAGAGCTGTCCCTGTAACAGGCCGTGGAGGCCCATAGGGGCGCAAGACGTCGAGACTCCCATTCTTTCTCAACAATAAGCTCACAGATGGCAGTGAGGTTGTCAGCCTTACACGCCAGCTACCATTTACACCCTAAGAATATTCCTGGTACTCATTTCTGTTAGAGGCTGAGTTGACACCAGGGCCAGTGTGACTGGAAGTTTTCAGTCAATCTAAAAATCCAGTTACCTAACTGGGAATCGAACCCATGACCTTTCAGTTTGTAGCACAGTAAGAAAGGATGATGATATTACTTAAATGTGAAGATATGATTTACTGGTTTGAGGCCCACCACAACAAACTGTGAGACAAACAATTTAATAGCTCTCAGGTTAAATTACAACACAGTTTCTCTACAGTACAATGGTTTTGTACAGTAACCAAGGAGGAAACATCATAATGAACTTTACTACAAAGTTCTGTGCAACATTTTATAACTGGAACATATGGAGACACTGTGTAGGAACTAAACATGGCACAGGATTCTGTAGCTAGGGGAAATTTCATCAACTCCCACCACCTATCCACAGGGCTCCCCTCTCTTGCCTCAGGGAGAAAAAGCAGAGAGGCAGATAAGGGGAAGATGAACAAGTGAAATGATCCCTACTACAGCCCAACATTTGTGAGATAATTTTAATTACTGATGATAGGTTATTGTTGTATGCAGACGATACAAGCATAGTAGTGTCTGGTATTGATATTGATGAAATCCAAATAAGGTCTAACTTAGTGTTGAATTCTTTAAGCCGTTGGCTTGCAGTTAATGGCCTGTCTCTAAATCTGAAGAAAACTAAAGTGGTAAAATTTGATACAACTAATCGAGATAATATGTCTATACATTTAAAGTTTAATGATGAGATATTGCATGAGGAAACCCACGTTAAATTCTTGGGCATTGAAATTGATAAGACCCTGAATTGGAAGTCACAGATTGAATCGATGCTGTCCAGATTGGGCAAGGCATGCTTTGCAATAAGAAACATGAAATTGTATAGCAATATTGAAACACTAAGGATGATTTANNNCAAAAAGGGGTCTATTGTATGAGTGTAAAAGTTTTTAATAGTTTGCCTGATTTTTTAATTGAGTTGGTACATGATAAAAAACAGTTTATTGAGAAACTAAAGGATGTATTGCTTCAAAACCCTTCTTATACTGTTGAGGAATTCTTGCTTTTCTGTCAAGACCTGTCAAGAGGTGTCTGACAGTGTACACTTCATTTAACTCTATGTCCTTGGCTGTGCTTATATATTCTTGCTGCAATTTGTATTGCTTTTTAACTATTGTATGTGTACTTGTTGCAATTTGTATTGCTTTTTAACTATTGTATGTGTATTTGCTGCAATCTGTATTTCCTTTTAACAATTTTATGTGTTTTTTTGACAAGTATGGATTATATATGCTAGTGATTTTGTTTGTGAATGTACAAGTTTCCAATGTCTTGTTGGCTTGTTGACATGTTTTATATTCTGTGCCTGTGCACATTTGTGAATAATCTGAAACGCAAATGTATATGTATGTATGTATGTATGAGACGGATTAAAAAGGAAATCTGCCGATGTGGTGTACCTTTTCTACACTGTTCTTTGATTCTGTAACAGCCTCCTGCAGCTTCAGTCTCCGTGCTTTCTTGAGAGCTATCTGTAGCTCCAGTTCGCTGTCATCCAGCTCAATCTTAATGTTGGGCAGTACCTCTTCTGGTGCTGAAAGTTGTGTCCGATTATTAATAACATTCAAAACTGCTCTTCCACCAAATTTCCTTTCATGATTTCACAACACACTTCGTAGCGGAAACTATATAGTATCAAATGGTTGATGGTTAGTAAATAATGTATTCAGAAGTCTTGTTGCTTGTCACCTGATTTGGGATACTAAGTCCAATCAACATTTGCCTGGTGGTACTGTGAAAAACCATGAAAAAATCCTAAGTCAGGTTAGCCAGATGTTCCAGCGGAGATTCATGAACAAAAGAGCCAAGTTCCTTTCCCCCCCACCCGCTTCTGAGTTCGAACTGTGGAAGTAACATGAGTCTGTACCTATGGTACGATTGGGCGTGTTTATCTCTTCTTGTAGCAGTTCAATAACTGTTTATGCTAATCTGAGTTCTATTTTAAATTTATGACAACAAGCAATCATTACCTCACTTGTTTCACTACTATCACTGATGAAAATTTGACTGTCATCAGCATTAACCTCTGCAGGAACTGCCATTTTGCATATCGATTAGGGTGATGATCGATGGATCGATGGGGAATTTCTTCTGTAGCTCCTTTAAATTTTGTAGAAACACCAAGTTTTTTCAACTTATAAAATCATTTATACTCAACATCACACAGCCCTCGTATGCTGAGTGCCATTAAGCTGAAAGAACAAAAATAGAATTAATTTTGAACTTTGATCAAAGATAATGCAATATTTGTACATTTTAAACTGGATTGATAGCTCAGTCGGTATATTCTTATTTATTATTGTGCCGGTCACGGTAGCCGAGCGGTCTAAGGCATGCACTGTCTTCGCTGGCTTGGAAGCCAGGATCGTGGGTTCGAATCCCACTCAGGGCATGGATGTTTGTGTACAGGTAGAGGCCTTGCGACCGTTCTGATCAACTGCAGACTAACTTTATACACAAAAGCGATATTCACACACATAACAATACAGAGATTCTATTTTTACACACACAACCGTAGAACACATAACAGTATAGAAATTAGGAACAGCGTCTATTAGACAGCAGTCTATTATTGAAAATTGTATATTACGACGTTGTCAACTCTAGCATTATATTTTAACATTAGAGAGTTGCCAACATAACAAGTACTCCATAAATTAACATTTAAATAACAGAAATTCCACGCCTTTCCTGGAAGCCAAATATTAATTACCCTCGCTAATGTATGGCTTGCAAGCTGTTGTCCATTTGTGTGACCCAATCGCAATCGATCACAATCGATCACAATCATCATAGTACACCTTTCGCAATATAACGAATCGCAAATGTGTGAAACAATCACGGAATCCACATGCCCCTGATCCACATGTTCCGTTGGTGGCGGAAAGAACGCAAAGACAATAAGGTGCAAACAATGTTAGCGTGGAACCTGAACTTAAGAAAGAAGGCGTTTCGTGAAATTGCATTTCATTGACATGTACAAAGATTTATACGGAAGAAATTCATCACAGTAAACTGATATTAATATTATGCATGTTAACTTTCCAGTATGGGAGTGGAGCTACTGAATATTGAACAAGGGAAAATATAGATGCATTTAGACGTGTGAAGATACAGCGAGAGAGGAAATGAAAGTACGTAATTTATATTCCATATCAGTAACGTTTTAGGGACTTCTTAATGATATCACCACAAGTAAAATTATGAATATTAAAATAACCAAATTTAGTCTAACCTAAACTAGAAAAACTTGTGTTCTGAGAGGCCCAAAAATCCTACACAGCTTATCAGCTACATGACTTATCTAAGGTCTTCTGTTTTTCCATTGTACACATTCAGTTATGCTTGAAAGCAGAATTTCCCAGCTGTTTTTACCTTCTGCATCACATAGAGAGTAACAAGATGTAAATCACTTCATGTTAGTCATATGTGCCACATAAGAAATTATAGTTTTGCAGTTATCTCTTCTTGCAGTCCCTGTATTGAAATGCAGATGTAGTTGGCCACATCCCTTTCAGTTCATTAATTATCTTACCATTTGATGCTCTAAGAACTGACTGACTGACAGCATCATCAAATAAACTGTCAATAAAAGTACTATTCTTATGTGCTGTGTTTTATCTAATATGAGATAAGTGCTTATATATAAATTATATCCTGGGGAGTAAAGTGCGGCCAGCACGTAAGGCTGACAACCTTACTGCCATCTTTGAGCCAATTGTCTAGATAATGTGGGACCTTCAACGTCTCACAACCCTATGGGCCTTCATGCCCTGTTACAGGGATAGCTTTACTTTTACTTTTTATAAATTATATCCAAGCTGTGGAACTACTATCAGCTTGCTGCACTAAGAACTGGCTTGCTCAGTTGTAAAAAAAAAAATGCAAAATGATGAGCCCTACAGTCCCACAGTTCAAATCCAGGAGATCACCCTTCACTTCAATACCTTCAGTTTATCATTGTATGCAGGTCCAGAAGGCCCTGCAGGCTTTTTCTGTTGCCATGTACATCTGTTTCCACTTCATTTCTTTGGCCAGTATTATTACAATAATTGACTTCTGTGGAGGAGTCAGGATAGCCCAGTCAATATAGCTACAGGCTGAAGGTCTGGAGTTTTGATTCCTGGCAGGAGCTAGACTTTTTCTCTTCTTCACAGGGTCAAGACTGACTCTGGAGCTCATTCAGCCTCCCATCCAGTGGGTATTGGGGGTGATGTCCCCAGGGGTAGAGCAGAGAGAGAATGGAGCTGACCACTCACCTCCATCTAGTGCCAAGGTCAAGAATGATGGAACTATACCTCCACTCCCTCATGTCTTCATGGCATAGTGCTTAATGAGTTAAGCATACAGAAAACTTTCTTTCACCTAACCCTCTCTACAATGACACAGGGTCATATGCACTACCGGGAATTGTTGTGGAATCATTATCTCCTTGTTAAATATAACTTGCTTACATAAACTATAATAAACAACAGAAAGTGCATCTAAAAGCAAATGGATGTGTAACAATTAACACACTGTTCAGTACTGGCTTCAGATACATTCTGTATGACATGCTATCACGTGGGTTCATGTTCTGCTATAAACTGATAGCATTAGCACTGGTGAATGAAAATAGCATGTGCTGCACTTCCCAGTGTCGAGTAGATTATTTGCAAATCTTGAAAGTGTAATCATTAATAATATATGTTTTCATTTGTGTCTTTTATAATTACTTGGTCGACTGAATATGTTTGTGCTTCTTTTATTTTATGGTGTATAAGTGTCTGTTAAATTCAGTCCACCTCTTCGTTTTAAGCTGCTCATTTCATCTGGCGAACATAGTTAGGCAGGTTATAATAATTCTGGTATGAATGAACCCATTTTTCTTTCTGCTGTAAGGAAGTCTGGAGCCAGATTTAATTTACATCTGACTTCATAGAACTTTGTCACATGCATACACATTCATGTATCTCTCACATGTTTAACTGAGGAATGCTTTTGAGTGGCTGATCCTGCACAGGGCATAAGCCAGTTTAATGAGAAGTTTTAAGGGAATGGCCTTGATTAAGAAGTTGCCAAAATCTTATTTTGTGATTGGTGCTTCCGAAAATCAAAGTCTGTTACAATTCCATTCCATTATGTTTGGCTGGAGCAGGGATAGTGCAGTCAGTATAGCGACTGCCTACGGGCTGGGTGATTGAGGGGTTGGAGTTCGAGTCCCAGTAGGGTCAAGAATTTCCTCTCCTCCATGTCATCCAGACAGGGTCTGGGGCCACCCAACCTCCTGTCCAGTGGGTACCAGGAGGTCTTTTTCTGGGGGAAAGCAATGGGGGCATGAAGCTGACCACTCACCTCCATCTTGTGCCCAGGTCAAGAAAACATGGACCTCTACATGCACTCCTCCATACATCTTCATGCCATAGTGTTTATACAGTGTGACAATAAAGTTCCCAAACTGACACTATTATAATAATACACTAACTCCATCTATTGGGGATGAACAGGAATAGTTAGAGAGAAAGTTTATTTATGTGATGTACAAGTTTCAACTTGTTTGGTTGATGTATGTGATGATTACAGTTGTTTTGAAGTTAGTTTTTTCATTGTATCATAGGTTTCAAAATGGAACAGCAGCGATTACATTTTTGTGAAAAATTAAAGAAAACAGCCACTGAAACGTTTGAAATGTTGAAAAGTGCATACAGTGAAGAATGTGTATCGAGAACAAGTGTGTTTGAATGGCTTAAAAGGTACATAGGAGCTCAGAAAGTGAGAATGCAAAAATCGTGGGTGAAGACAATGTTTACTGCATTTTTGATGCTAAAGGTATTATTTATCACAAATTTGTGCCAGAAAAACAGACTCTAAATGGTAAATTTCATAAAGAGTCGATTAAGAGATTGGTCATTCGAGTTCATCGCATTAGGCCTGAGTGTCAGGAAAAGTGAGCCCTGGTATCTTCTGCACGACATGCACCGGCACATACTTCAGGCTTTGTCTCAGAGTTCTTGGCGAAACGAGGGATCCCAATGTTATCCCATCCACCCTACTCCCCTGATTTAGCACCGGCTGACTTTTTCCTGTTCTCTAAATTAAAAATTGTGATGAAAGGGACAAGATTTGAGGCTATTTTCATCGATCCAGCAGACTGTGACAACAGAACTGAAGGTGATATTGGGAGAAGCGTTTTCTTGGGCATTCGATTTGTTGTATGAGCAATGTAAACATTGTACAGAAATTGGCGGGGACTATATTGAGTGATGGTATTAATAAATATTTTTTATCTTTTTTGTTTGGTTTTTTATAGATTTGGTTTGGGAACTTAATTGTCACACTGTGTAATTAGGCAAGTACAGGGACAACTTTACTTTTACCTTACTGATTTCTAGAGACAGGTTCCTCTTACTGCAGAAAGTGGGTTCTGTAAGGCTCCTGAAGTCCTTGTTTTTGGTAAGTGGCCCTGTTCTGGTTTTATTGGTTGATAACAAACCTGTTGCAACTCTGCACCATTTCCAGAGCTGTTTGTAATACCTGTAGTTAGGAAATTTCTCAGTTATTAAGATAACAATGTAGTCTTCATATCTTACTGAATAGCAGCCGTTATCATTTTTTCCAAAAAGAAGTTCATTCGCAGGAAGTATGGTCTGTGGGCTCCCTGTAGATGTGGACATCTGAACCACCTAATCTCTCTGTGACTTCATTGCAAGAGGTCTTTATCAGATTGTGATAGAGATCATTATCATTAGAAAGTTAGTAGATTCAAGCTACTTCTGGTATCCATGATGATGGGAAACCCAAAACACAATGAGTTAAACGTTTCTTTCACCAAATAGCAGAGGCATGTGACAATGTTGGTGTAATGGGACAGAAATTCTGATCATATATACATAAAATTAAGAGTATATTAATACATAGGCTGTACCAAATGTCATGACCCATTTATTTGTATTAAAGCAAAGGTGCATGCACAAAAAAAGCAGATAATGTTTTTAGTTACCCGAGTTGTCCTGTCATTGCATGAGATCCACAGAATGATCAAGACATTCCTGCCAGCACAGCACAAGTTTGTGTATGCTGCTGTAGTAGGAGTCTGTTTCAGTATTTGACAACCATGTATGCACAGTGTACTGAACTGCTTCATTTTTATAGTGACCCCTTGATATTTTAAGAGCTTGAGCAGGTGGTAGTCTGATGGGACTAACTCTGGACTGCAGGGAGGATGGGAAAGTACTTTCTGGCCAAATGTTTCAGTTTTCTTCAATCTCAGATGTGCAGTGGGAAGACTTGCATTATTGTGTTGAAGAATAATATGCCTTTTCACCAGAAGCTTGTCACAAAGTTCACATCATAATTTTTGGAGCAGCCAAAGGCAGTGAACTGCACTAAAAGTTTTCTTTCTGGGCAGGAAATTGATCAGTATGCACGCCTTGACATTTCAGAAAACTGTTCCCATGATTTGTCCAACCAATGGTACGGTTTGGGCCTTCAGGCTCTTTGGAGAGGCAGTGTGGTACCATTATATGCTCTTGTCATTTTATTGTAGGATAAAAATGTTTGAACCAGCTGTCATCACCAGTCACAGTGTTCAGTAAGCAGTCATCACCCTCAGCTACATTGTTTTTTAAGCCAGTGCCCATTTCTGCTCATCTATCAGCAGTTGGGGAATCCAGTGACAGTAAACTTTCCAGTATCCCAACATCTGTATCATTTCCTGTGCAGCACTGCAAATAGTGCCAAGCTGAGCCATGATTTTCTTAACTGTCCCCCCTTTAGGTCTTTTGTGATGAGCATGTTGACTTTCTGCTTGTTGCATTCTGTGCTGGTGGTTCTTGGTTGACCACTGCAAGGCAGATCAGTGATGCATCTTTTGCCATCTTTGAAGTGTTTCAGATTGCTGCCACCCATGCAAGGATCCATGTAGACATGATAAGGTTGACCAAAGGTGTTTCAGCATAATTGTTTACAAGGAATTCAGTCTCAGCATGTGAGCAAAATTAAAGATTTACAGCCATTATGTCACAGTGGATTGTGGATAAGTATTGGTGCTCATGTGGTGGATCTGTGCTTCAGGTTGCAGAAAACATATAAATATATGCTATATAACACTTAGTTTCATTATGTCAGTAAAACATACCTAAACCAGTGAAGCTCATTACTTTCACTGTTGCCCTTATGCATACATACTTCGTACATAGGGAATTTAACTCCATGGCTTCTGGCAAATGAAGGTATTGTTTCAAATTACACCCAATTGAATGCTCCTTCAGTATAAAGGAATACCCTTAGAGCAGTCTTTTCATGTTTTTCTGTATTCTGAATGCATGTAACCACAGTGTAAAGATCTGGTTCAATTGATTTACCTGATGGGTTCTAAAATTGGTTTCAGTGTAAAAGAAACACCCCATATATCTTGTTCCTGAGATATCTGGTGACCGTGTTTTCCGTTTTCTATAATAAAAGCACCAAGAGACTCATCAGTTTGTATGCCTTACTTAGACTTGCTGTAGTTTTCATACACTGGATTACGTATACATGTCACTTTTATATGGTTGAGCAACTGAAATATATGCAAGACCCAGGCAGGCTGTATATAACAATATATAGATGTTGATTGCCTGAAATATTGTTTATTTTCTCTTAAGCTTAACTACCTAATAATTTTCTAGTTATATTCACAGAAGATTCCAATTATTTTATCACCTGAAATTACTTTCTGAGCTAACTGCATGCAGCTTCTTCAGAAGCTGATAGTCTCTCATTTTGTGAAGGAATTCATTGCCTTTTATGGATGATTCATCACTGTTTTCACAAGAGTCCACCATTAGACCTTCTCTTGGGCCAAATATAGAATACAAAGATGAGGATTATAGATATGGCTAGATAGTCTAGTTAAGAATGTTTGGTTCAGATTCAATAACAGTAAAAAAGAAATGTTATATACAAGAAGAAACAAAAAACATGCTTCAGGCCTTGAACCCAGAAATATTACTTAAATTTACTGGTACTTTCCATACATGACTATCTTGTTCATTTAGACTATTGTTAAAAATATACTTGCAACTGGTCCCCGTGAACTTACTTATGGTGAGTTGGTGAGCATATTTCTGGAGCAGTGCCAGAGATTAATGAAAAAATATAATGGATAATGGAAGAGAGACTATATTTACATTTCTTGCTGTTCTCCTTCCTGATGTTAATATCATTCTCAATTCTGTTTCAGCTGTTCAAGTAACACTGTAACAAATCATGCCACGGTGTAAACAGCCCCAGACTCTTGAGGCAATAGCCCTTAAAGTCTTCAGTTTATACATTAGGAATGTGGGGTGTGCTGCATCTGTTTGTGCTACACATATGAGGGCTCTCCAGCCAAATGAAGATTATGACAGGATTATGTTGAACATGAATTGCTTGGCAGAATTCCTCTATGGTGCTTTACCTCGTGTACTTGCAGAAAAAATGACTAGGCATGTGCTTGATGGTATTGCACAAGCCATGGATGAAACAGCTTGCACTATGGATGAACTGAAGTGGACTGATTGCAACAAATGCAGACAAGTTTTCGAACAGATGATTGTTGCAGGCACCAGCCCACATCTGACACATCTAGATTTGTCACCAGAACCATTTCACATTAGAAAGGTGCTGTGTGAAAATCTCCACAAGCTACTGAAGTTAAAAGTCCTCATTGTCACAACTTTTTATGGATGGGAGTTATCTAATCAGACATTTGTGAGAGACTTGTCTCTGCTGCAGAATCTTGTGTCTTTCAGTATGGAGCATGACTGTACAGATGAAATTGTTCATGTACTGGGACAATACTGTAAGCAGCTGATATGTCTGAATGTTACTGGAGCAGTTGGCATCACTGATTCTAGTGTTGAGAACATACTAAAGCTGAAACATTTACAGCAACTCCATCTCTCTACCACTTCTGTGACGGAAAGTGGGTTTCTTCAGTTACTGAATGGAATGATAAAAGTGCATCAAGAAGCTCAAAGCAGAAAATCGGATCAGTCTCCTGGAGACAGGCTTAATGAACCTGGACCCTTTTCTTTGAAAAAACTTGGATGTAGCTTTGTTAGAAATTCACAGCTTAGTATCTTGGTGGAACATTTTCAATGTATTACGCAAATCTTGTTAGGTACTTTGCAGTGTGATCTGTCAATACTCAAAGATTTGAAACATCTCAAAGAATTGAAACTTGTTGGTGGCAACTTTGTTACAGACAATGTGAAAGGTTTACTTGAACAGAAGGGCTCTGCCTTACAAGTGCTTGATATGCTGCTGATTCAAGATGTAGACTTGATGTTGATACGTATATGTTGTGATGAACTGAAAGTTTTGAGTCTACGAAGCTGTTCTTTTAAGAGCATTGTCCCACATAATAGTAACGAACATTCACTTAAGCCTTTCCAGAAACTAGAGGAGTTGACCTTCTATGTACAATGTTCATTGTTGTACCTTCAGTTCCTGCTCCTAAGTTGCAGAAACATAAAATTAATTACTGTTGGATTGATCAGAGAGGTAGATGATAAGTTCATAGCTTTTATGTTGTCCATAAATTCAATGAACTGTCTGGAAAACTTTAAAGTGTACTTTAGTAATCATCTGACCCTTCATACTGTGCGATTACTGATGACATGTTGTCCTTGTTTATCTGTTGTTGGAGGACTCGAAACATGGAATGGGGTCTCTCAGGAAGAATTACGACATTTCAAAGAAGAATTGAAAAGCAGTAATCTGGCCCTCAGTATTGTAAGGTGATAAGTATTATTTGACCTTATACCAACAAATGATAGTTACCTGTACAGTCACTTTTTTTCTTATTTTAAGGAATGACCAGAATTTTTACATCTGTGTACATCAATCAGATTCTTGGAAGTCACTGAAACTTTTCAGGTCTATAATTTAGAAAAAGTTGGGTTTGCCAGCACAAAATTGGTGTCAGACATGGCCAGAAAATTATGTTAGTTCTCACTGAACTTCCATTGTGTTAAATGATTTATTTTAATGCTTCACGCTCTGTCGATGCATTACTGTATATCACTACAGACAGGTCTCAAGTGTGAGCAGTGTAATAATGCATTGATACTTTCATACTTCATGCAAAGATTATTATCAGTTTTGCAGGTTTCCATCTTGAAGTTTATTATGTATGGCATTTCTGCTGGTTCACTTTACAACTAAGTGGTGTCATAAGTACACTCATTTATATGTATGCCTTCTGTAAAACTACAGAAGTGTTGCACTGTATCCCTTATGAGTGTACTCCTTAAATCTGTGACTGTGCATAAGCAGCGTACACAATTCAGTGTCATAACAGTAACTCCTAAGGAAAAGTGTGTGTGGTATAACCTGGAAAAGTAATTACCATATCTGTGATCTTTGAAACTGCCATGTATGATGTAATGTTTACTTCCAGTCACTTCCATGGCCAGTACAACATGACTTCTTGTTGAGATGCAGGATGTCTCCGAGTATTGTGGGGCTGAATCAGGAGTGTAATTTGTAGAGAAACATGGTCATGCAATTCCTGTAAACGGTTCTGAATTTGAATTGTAATACACTGTATTGAATTGAAAGTTTAACTGGGTATTGCTCCAGCTTGGTGTATATTATTTTACAAAAAAAAAAAAACCTGTAATGGCATTCCTCTGCTATATATATTTTTCATCCTCTCTTCCTGTGTGGTGCTTTCCTATCCATGTCCATGCCTTGTTGAGGAATGTGCAAGGATACTCTGGAATGCTGAGCCTTCATTCATGACTAGGACATTCAAACTTGTAGCTATTTTACTGGCTACAGTGGTTGGTCAGAGTCTGAGAGTTGTCTACACATTTTTATTCAGTTTGGGAGCATAAGGTGAGTGTACATTGTTCTAAATTGTGATTGGCTGATTCATTCTGAATTTCTGTTTTGGCCTTCATGTTGATTTACTCACCTCTACCACATTACCCTTGGCTTGTATGTTTGTCTAGCCCTACTCCTTCATCTGCCTGTCAGTTTTTGAGCAATAATTTATTTCATTTGATCGTATTGTTATTTGACCTTAGCCATATAATCTGCTAAGAACTACTGGATAGTAGCCATACCAAAATCAATGGTCACAATTGTAAACACAAAGGCTTATTGTGTAGGCTGCGGTCTCATTGTTTCTTCTGCCAATTCAAGGATTAAGTCATGGCCCATTTTGAGACTCAAGGAAGTGGTGTGTCCATCATCTTGTTCATCCAGTGTCCGATATTCAGTAGGGTGCTAAAAGGATTCTTGCCATAGTAGATGTCCAGGAGGCATCCTTTCTGCATGATTATGCCATTTTCCTTAATATTCTTATATTTCTTCAACCATTCATTCTGTTCCAAATTGTTTTCATTGTATGTATTCTTTATCTGTAAATTACATACCCATTATAGCAGTGTCATTGAGTTATTTGTTGCATACTTCAACCAGCTGTGATCCCATGTATAGGTCAAAGGTCCCAGGGAAGATGGACATGAAGGAGTTAGGGTGTTGTTGTACCATACTGCTGCACATTCCCCAGACTGCTCTCAGTTCATAGTAGTGCTGTAGTTCCATTTAAACTTTCTGGGTGTTTTTGTTTAATGTGATTTCAGTTGTATGCCTGTGGTTGGTTCATGTTAGTGATCATTTCTTTTTGTCCTGGTATATGAACAAATATTCCCATCACTGCTTAAAGCTCCTTGTGTTTATATATCTTGTCTTGGTATGGTTTGTCGCACTTTTAGGGTTAGGCCATATTAATTGTGTGGTTTGTTTTGACATAATTTTCTTCTGACTTGCATGGTAACTTCAATACACCATTTGGTTGGCGTAAAACGTGCTTAAGGCCATCTTGAAGGAAGTGGCAACCTGATTTATATCAGACAGTGGGAACCAGGCAGCAGTCAGAGGGGCCAGGAAAGACTGATAGGAAGAAGGTATCAGGGGTGCTGCCCTGTATCACCCCACTGCTCCCAGACCCATTTCATAGTAACAGTTCTCTTCATTATACTCTTCAAAACATTCAAGTATACTACTGTTATTTTGGGTTGGCTCAACACTTTGCCAGGTTATAACCAAACTTACAATTGATGTTTCTCTTATCATACAGCGTGTCCAGATGAAAGGTATCCAAAATAAAAAAAAATATATATCTCTAAACTTTCATGCACATATCCAGTTCATGTCATAGGATAGGAGAACTTGGAAAGCTTTTTTTCATGTCTGGCTTACGTGCATGCACCAACTGCTGACCTTTGGCAAGCTCAGTAACAATGTCTACACCACAGGAACAGGTTCAATGTGTGCTGTGGTTGGCAGAATTGAAATCTACATGTATTACAGCTGTCCAGCATCATTTTAGAATGCAATATGGACATCAACCTCCTACACGGAAAAGCATTTGGTTCTTTGGCAACAAACTGAGGACTACAGGTAGTCTGTTGCATATAAAATCTTCTGGAAAAACAGGGACCTCTGAAGAAAATGTCAATCACATTAGAGAAGCATTCCAGTGAATTCCACACAAATCAATTCATGCTGCTAGCTTGCAGTTACAAATTCCATGTTCAACAGTACATGATGCACTACACAAAAGGCTCCACCTAAGAGCATACAAGATTCAAATGATTCATGCACCAAAACTGAGTGATCAAGTAGCACGCACAGAGTTCGCTGTGGACATGCTAGAAAGAATCAACGTGTCACCCGATTTCCTCCACTATGTGTGCTTCTTGGACAAGGCAATGTTCTATGTCAGTGGAATTGTACACAGGTAAAGCTGCAGGATTTGGGTCAGTTAAAATCCAACTGTCATGTGACCTGGAGAGAGGCAGCCCCAAAATGAGCGTGTGGGCCGACTAAATGCACAAGCTGATTGGACCATCTTTCTTTTCGGAAAAGACTGTGACTGGACATGCTGGAGCTGGATACACTACCCCAATTACCACCTCAAACTATCCTCCAACATGATGGGGCACCACCATATTTCTGCCACCATGTTAGGGTTCACCTGACAAGAGAGATGGATCAGCAGAGGTGGACCAATTGCTTGGCCTCTAAAGTCGCCAGATTTAACCTCAACTGGATTTTTTCTTGAGGGATTATGTGAAGAATGTTTTCTAAAGGTTAGGATCAATGATCCTCGACACCTGAAAGCCTGCATGAGGGACGCTGTCGCTATGGTAACACCAAACATGCTTTAAGCAATGTGTAATGAAATCGAATATCATATGGATATTTGTCATGCCACCAAGGGAGCCCACATTGAAATTTGAGAAAGTTATATACTCAGAAAAAACTTTGATAGTTTCCCTTTGTAATGGTATCACCCATAAATGTGTATAATAAATGCTTTCTGAGCTATAATTATTTTATATTGAATACATTTAATCATGACATCCAGTATATATTAAGATATATACTATATGTACTATTATGACATGTTCTATATCTTACATGTACTGTGGATCTATGGAATGTTAAATAAATTGAAATTGAAATATCTTAGTTGGGAACATGGACAGGTGGGGTTCAGCCAGTCTCTTATACAGTGAGCTTTTCCATAGATAAAAGTTAAAGTGTAATGCTGCATTGAGAACTCACCTCCTTCTTGTGCAAAATGTATGCACTTGTCCATCTCTCTTTAAAATGTGTGCATAGGCATACAGCCATTCTGTACTGAGACTCAGCAGATGAAAGTGAAATTATTGAGGAAACTGCATAGTGATTTGGTCAATTCCAATACAGAACTGCATTGCTCACAGTTGGTAGTGTGCTGTAGGGCACCTTCTTGATGGGCAGTGTCATGAAAACATGCAACAAGACATGACTAATTATGTAAACATTGTTGGAACAGAAATGTAGGCAAACTGATTCAGGAAATAGCAACCAGGATTCATGAATCACCAAGATGCAGCTATCAAGGATGCATCAGATACTTTTTCACACACCTGTACTTCCTGATCACAGTTTTTCACATTAATATATCCAGAAGGCTAAGGTTATTTTACTACTTTTATGATACCCACTGTCCTGAAATTCTCAACATATCATACATAAGATAGGTTGTCATTCTCACTGTGTCCCAGATTGATAATACCAAATGTACTGCTAAAGGAAATTTAGTTTTTATAGTATTCATGACTATTTTGGCCACCTGTAGACTGTGTAGTAACAGTCCATTGAGACTTCCCATACAAAATATATGTTCTGAAACTGTTTATTATACTACACAGTCTGTCAACAATACAACAAATTGCTCCTTCTTTCCTACACTCTCACGATCGACACAACATTTCAATATTCACCATTTGCTCTATGATTCACTGCAATGTACAAGAGTCGTACTGAAAGTCGTGAATAACATTTTTTCTAAAGCAACATGCTTTATTATTGACAAACCAAATACACCACCTCAATCTACAGATCTTTCTTTATTTTTTCACATAATCGCCACTTCTTTGTACACATTTCTCCCAGCATTCTGGGAATTTGAAAATTCCCCTTCCGTAAAATTCCATTCCAGCCATCTGAAGACAATGACACACTGCTTTCTGAAGTGCCTCCCTTGTCCCAAAACGTTGTGCATGCAGCTGATCCTTCACAAATCCAAAAAGATGGTAGTCGGAGGGTGCCTGATCAGGGCTATAGGAGGGGTGTGGAAGAATTTCCCACCCCATCTTTGCAATTGCTTCCAATGTGAGGCGAGCGGCGTGGGGGCAAACGTCATGCAGGATGATGATGTTTCGTCCCGGATGTTTATCGCACAATGCACGACGGAACTTTTGCAGCATCTTGACATAACGAGCAGCATTGATGGTTTCCCCAGGTTCCAGGAATTCGGCCAGAATAAGCCTCTGCATCCCAGAAGACTGTGCCCATCACCTTCGCAGCTGATGGCACTGTCTTTGCCTTCTTTTTTGATGGAGAATGCAAATGGTGCCATTCCATACTCTGCCATTTCTTTTTAGGCTCAAAATGGTGAAACTAGCTTTCGTCACCTGTCACAATACAGAGCAAAAAATCATCGCCTTCATGTCGATATCTCTGCAGCAGTTCTGAGGTGATGGCTTTTCACTGACCTTTGTGGTCTTCGGTCAATAACTGCAGGACCCAACGAGCACAAACTTTCCTATAGCTTTCAATCATCGCCTGTACTGCACTGTGCCCTATTACAAGTTTTCGGGCTATTGTGTCCACAGTCACACGCCTGTCATCTTGAATGATCTCATCCACTCTTTCCTTGTTGTGTTCAGTTGCGGCTGTTTGAGGACGACCGCTCCGAGGCTCATCTTCGATGCTGGTGTTCCCATCTTTAAAATGTTTCACCCATCTTCGAACACTGCTCTCACCCATGCACACACTTCCATAAGCATGCTGAAGTCTCTGGTGAATTTCTGCAGCAGGGATTTCCTCTTTCACAAGAAATTCGATGACAGCACGCTGGCAAAACGACACATTGTCGGCCATTTTGTTAGGAGTGAGGCTGGTCACGTGATGCAAGCTACTGATATCACAAGACACTCAAGATTAACACAACAGCTGGTTCCACCTACCACCGTACTCTCTTTCGACTGCTGTTCCCAGGTTGCATGCAAAAAAAAAGTTGCTCATGACTTTTGGTATGACCTACGTAGTAGTCGCCATAAAACCTCCAAATCGTAATGTTATATTTCAGCATGCTGTTGCACTGTATAGATCTGACTTTGGAGCTTTTGTGCCATCTATGTGCAACATCATTCTCTATTTTTACTTTGTATTCCTTTATTGGACACTACATGTTTCGGCCTAACTGTCCATCTTCAGGTGTACATGTTGTTATGGTTGTTATGGCATTACAGTGAGCAGCAGAATCCTTAACCATAATAACCCGTAAACCTGAAGATGATCAGTTAGGCCGAAACATGTAGCATCCAATAAAGAAATTATGAACGGTGTTGCACACAGATGGCACAAAAGCTCAAAAGTCAGATCTTCAAACCGTACATGAAAATATCTCAGTGATCATTTACATATGCTTCAAACAGGTGGCTACGTTCCTTGTTCTTGGAATGATCTAGGTTAAGGGGCTCACTAAAGTGCCTGAGAAAATCCATGAAAATATACTGCTATCAGAGGAAGTTGCAGTTTTTTTAAATAACAGTGTTCGTTTGTTTATTCTGCCACATCAATTGTTTGACTAATCCACCTGCAATGAAGGTATTCCTCAATGAGCTACCTAGATGAAAATTATTTTATTTGATAGCCAGAGAGTAAAGGAGTAATTCTGGAAAACTCATGGCTAGACAGAAAACTGACAGATTCAACATACTGTATTGTGCTTACCAATAACCTAATGCCATTCTATACCGCAGTAATGGCTGGAACCAGCTGAAATATAACATTGTGTCATACATGTGTGGCCATATTTGTTGACACTACATAATGGAGGGGAAGACTATTAATACCTACATGCACTTCATTTTTAAGGCGGATGGAGGAGAGAGACAATGTAGCAGTTTAGCTACTGGATTCCAGATCACAGTTTTTGCAGGTACAATCTAGCATAAGATTCACACAGACACACACACACAAACAAATGACAGTCTACCCAACAGTAAAAACCAGAATTTGCTAAAAATTTGGATGGTTAATAAACACAGATGCCATATATTATTCTTTCTGCCATAGTTCTGATTCAACTGAAGATGCTTTTAGAGCCAGTGCAGTGTTATGTTACTTGCTGTTGGGAAGGAAAATTTGAGGGAAGAATTAATACATTACAACTATGTTGCATACTTATGGCATCACACAGTGTTGAATCCATGTCTCTTTGCTTGTCAGTGTAGCATGCTGTTGTGAGGGACATCACTCACACTCGCCTCTGGTTTGGAATGGTAAGGATGGGCGAAACACTGAAGACTGTCTGTGTGTTAATAAAGAACAACTAAAAGTAAAAATATAATTATATTATAAACCAATTAAAAGAAATTATTTAAATAAAAATGATCCAACAATGAAGCCCTAGTTTAATAAAAGCATAAAATCCAATCCTTCATTTAACCTTCACAGGTACCTCTCTTAAAAATGAGTATTCCTGTGACTGAACCAGACCAAACATTGATTTACCAGTCATGCAATAGGTAATCACTCCTTTAAAGATGACAGTGATGAGGCATCACCGTGACACAAAGTGATGTGGATTTTAGCTGACAGCTCTGTGAGAATCACATGATGTGCTCTGAAGTAGGTGCTTCTCATTAGTTTAAGTTGTGATCAAAAGAAAGCTGTCCAAACAAAGACATCTTCCTATTTGAATACTTTAATAAAGGGCCATACTATACTAATTAAAAACTAAATGTGATCCAGGCATGTGGTTATGATTCTTTTCTTTCATAATTTAAACCATACTTCAGGCCATCACAGAATGACACACGCACAGTGGAAAATGTCCACCTAGAATTACGTTTTAATATAAACACATCACATGTATCTCTCAAAGCAGGCAATGCAACACAACCATACAATAAATATCTGCTGGAAAAAAAAAATAAACAGAAGGGTATTTGGATGTTTTGGCAGATATTTATTTAGATACATTTTGGCTTTTTGTACTGTTCATTAATATCATCTATTAATTAATACTTAAGTGTTTTGCTGCACTGCACAGGCCTGTGAAGAGTCAGGGCCTTCTTATATGCAATGTAACAAATAACAGTGAATCCTTACAGATATGTAACAGCACAAGGGATCCAACATCAATCCTATAAAACTGAGTTATAGAACAATATACAGTACAAATATGCTTGTAGATAATATACTCTGACATCATATATTTACATATAGAAGAAAACTCCCCATTATTATGCACAACCTCTGAGTACAGTCTAGTTAATTACAAAGTTGATCACAGATGGAGAAAAAACACATTATGGCTAATTACTATGGCCACAATACATTACACTTCTTAAAAATATGATGATGAGGCATTTTTATTGTAGATATAGAGTAATAGAAGGGTCATGGATTTTTTGTATGTTCAAGAAAAACAGCACAACTTTTGCCACAGAGACTGTTTCCTCTTTCCATTTTTTTGTCTTAATTTTGAGTTTCGATTTGTGTTCACAAGAATAGTACCTCTGTGTGAAAGTGCAGTGACAATTGCTTGATCAAAAGCTTCTTTCAAATCCCGCTGTGTGAGTGCTGATGTCTCCACATAAGTTGCAGCACTAATACGGCGTGCCAGATACCGTGCTTGTGTCTGTGACACTGGTGCTTGGCCATACTGTGCAAGTTCTTGAAGTTGTCTAGCATCACGTCGTCTGTCACTCTGAGTTCCTACAAGAATGAGAGGTGCTTCTGGACAGAAACGACGAATTTCTGGCAACCATTTTTCTGATATGTTTTGGAATGATGTAGGATTAACGACACTGAAGCACAGAAGGAACACATCAGAATCTGGATAACACAGAGATCGTAATGGGTCAAAATCATCCTGCAAAAAGAAGGGAAATTGAATAGTTCAATACATCTCAGAATCCATTCATATAAATGCAAATATTTCTGATAAAACTTTGGTGATAAATAATAAACTGACACCAGTCAAATGAAAACCAGGTGGAATAACACAAAAAGAAATAATACTTGCTGTAGCAAGTATTCCTTATGGGGTACATAATAAATGGTTCTTCACAGACTTGTGAGAATTTAATTGAATACTTAGGTCCCCCATACACACACAGTTTAGCCTTCTGATTGACCTTATAGGCAAAACTTTCACAGTCTGCCCTTTCCCTTTCCTTCCCCACACATGCGCAGATAAACTGGCAGGCTTCATGCCATGGTCACGGTCTTCCAGCCTATATTGCTGAGTCACACACGTCACGTGCTACAGTCCTGCAGGTAGAACTGATGGACTGACGGGTTTCCTACAGGCCAACAGTCCAAACGATTGGCCGGCCGGCCGCACCACACACATCAGTTTTGCCTTTCAGCCTTCAACTGTGCAGGCCGAATGGGAGGTCAAACTGTGTGTGTATGGGGGCCCTTAGACACAAATGGTACCTGTATGATTATGTGAGAAACTTCTGAGCCACCATTAATGTGGTAGTCAGCCAATAATGATTCTGCTATTTTTGTAAGAGTCGAGTATTCCTTAATATTCTTGCATGCAGTACTAATTAATTACGGGCTCTGCAGACAATCAAACATGAACAGTCCAGTGGAACAGGCTCTCATTACACTTGGATTTTCCTTCTTAAATACATTCTTAGTTGCGGATTTGGGCCGTTATTTTAGGGTTTTAATTTCTACTGAAATAAAAACACATTACTCCATTCAAAGAGTTCACAACCAAAAATCCACAACATATAAAAAAATACGCAAGACTTCATGTTCTCATGGATGAGGGGTTAAACCATCAGCAGAATAAAAGGACTTAAATTATTACTACAATGGGGGGAAAATGCAATGAACCAGTGACTTTTTAGAAATTAAATACAAGTGAAGTATTACAAATTATGAATTTACAATAAGTATACATTTGGGTGACAAAGTTATGATTCACTAACCATATTGCATTTTAAGTGCCTCTTCATTAAAAGGGCCATCTATAAATGAATGGCATAGAATTATTACTTTAAAGGCAAGTTTCATTTTGTGAAACTTTCCCTTATGTACACCATACACTACTATCAAACTTCTTAATTGATATGATGGTGAAGTAATTGTTCAATGTTCTCTCTTCTTATTGTTAACACTGTTAGCAGCATATCAACAGCAGTCATCTATCAAAATCACCAATATCATCAGGCTTGAATTTCTCATCTACAACATTCTTACCCCCTGAAACCTTGCTGTCCCTGTGCCTATGTACTATACAATGATGGCACAAATAGGGCTTGGAAAAAGGGTGTAATGCTTTAGCCATCTCAGCCCCTAGGCAAGAACTGGTAATATGATGTATATGATATAATATTAGGGTGATTTGGGTTGTTCCCAAAGCCCATAGTGGTGTTTTGCAGAAGTATAGGATGTTCCTCTAAAAACTGCACAAATTAAACACAAAAGTCAACTGACTCCCTTGTATATCATACTCATCCCATGCATATGTGTAACTGTTTCTGGCCTTCTGAATGACAACACCTTACTGTCAACCATAATCCAAGTGATTTCAGACTTGTTAACCAGTCTGTTTATTGCAGTGTGTAGAGTTTTACAACATTCAGAATTTACTTGAAATGCATGATGAATCTGCATAACACTAGCAGTTGCATAAAATCTTTCCATTAAAATACATGCAATTCTGTTTTAAAATGGGTGTCTTACAGTTTCCTGGGACTGTGCATTGCTTGCTAAACACATGCAATGACCTCTGGTGTTCTGTGTTCATTTTACTGACAACACCTTCCAATGGTCGTCAATTATGGTTACAGTACTTTCAAACTTATTAACTAAATCTGTTTGTTGCACAGCTTGAAGTTTTCCTTCAATCCAAGTTTACTTGAAATTTACAATAAATTTTAACGAAACTAACAGGCTGGCAAAATATTTTCATTAAAAAGTACATTATTCCGGTACCATCTTGTTCAGTGCTGTTTTATGTTGTTGCCATGACAGATATCACACTCTCTCATTAATGGTGTGATCATCACACATAATGAAATTTGTAAATAAGTACAATTAAAACAGGAGCATCTTTTGGAAAGACTCTGTATATATACATCTCACCAGCTTGTAACAAATTAACAGCCATTATATTAGCTGCAAAAATGAGAATATAGTTGAACATAAGGTTCCAAACTGCATGAAGAACTTACAGAGCTCAATTTAATGCAAGGCCAGACAAAAGGATAAGATTCCATTTGGCAATTATTGCAGTTCTAAGAAACATAATTCTGAAGTCTCTAAACCTGTGTAAACAGTCTGTGATTGCACATCTACGATTGACTAAAAAAAGTAAAGCTATCCCTGTAACAGGCCATGAAGGCCCATATGGTTCTGAGACGTTGAGGATCCCACATTATCTCGACAATCGACTCAAAGATGTCGGTAAGGTTGTCAGCCTTACGCGCTGGCCACGCTTTACTCCTCAGGGAAATCATTTAATTAATTCCTGCTACTCATTTCTGTTAGAGGCTGAGTCAACACCAGGGCCATAGTGTGGCTGGAAGGATTAGGTCAATTGAAAAAAATCCTATGACCTCATCGGGACTAGAACCCGCAACCTTCTGGCTTGTAGCATAGTGCCTCAACCAACTATGCTACCGTGTGCCCCATCTGATATTACTAAGGATGTCAGAATGTATTTTCTTAACAAATATATATATATATATATATATATATGCACGCGTTAGATTTCTGAATTTACTGCACACTTCAAGAACACATAATTGGCAAGATTTCAGATTCAATTAACTAATGTTTTAAGTAGGTTAGCCACGATGCTTCTTGATTAAAATCTGGAGTGAATACAGTGGCACTGTGTACTACCAAACAATTAACCACTCTGAAGATTCAAATTGGTCTTCTTGACAGATACCTTGTAGGGACTATATAGAAAACACCATCATGTAACTGAAATTATCTGCTGTTTTAATTCTATTACCATTATTTCAATTTCAGCTTTTAAATAATAAAACATCACACCTTCTCAACTGTCTGAAAATACTCAATAATACAAGACAAATACTAGCAAGTATGCCAATAATACTAAATTACAACAGTAGCCATCTATACATAGTTGCTGTGCCATAACTGAGGTGGTTAGTCACTGGCTTCCTGCCATGTCAGGCTGGGTTCAATCCCAGGTCAGGTCATGCGGGATTTATAATGGACAAACAGGTTCTGGGGTAGGGTTTCTCTTGAGTACTTTGGTTTCACCTGCCAATTTTATTATACCAACTGCTCCATATACATTAATCATCCTATCATTAATGCCACATAGTCTCCTACTGAGTGTGTTGTTAAATAACAAACAACAAGAACAACAACAAACAGATCTAAGGCAATTAGGGACAGCAAAATTAACAGCTGTGGGGATCGTTGCTCTGACCATGTGACACCCTCTATCTGCTAAACTTGGCACTGACTTCTCCAACAAGTGGTGGTAGATCAGTCAGTATAGTTCGCCTGCAGAATAAAACCATGGAGTTTGTTTTTTTAACCCCATTAAAAGAAACATCTAACAAATTCAGACTGTCTGGATAACAAGGCATGTTATGAAACTTACTTGACCAGCAGTATCACAAAGCTGCACACTTATAGGCTGGCCATCAACTCGTACCAGTACTGTAACATAAAAATGAGCTAATTAACATTTGAAAAAACATACTTGCATGCACATATACACATATACAGTGTGACACAAATGGAATAATTAACAAAGTAAATAAAATGAGCAATGAATAAAATATAATTGACAATACCAAAATGTATTATAACCTGACTAAACAAGCAGGACTCTTGCGAATAAGAGCTTCAAATTGCATGAGCCTATTATGTTTTCTGGAACTCTCACCATTTGGATGTGCTGTCTTTCTATTTCAGTGTTTCAGAATGTTTTGATTAATATGAGTTTCAATATGGAGCGACTATATTCCATAACATGCCTTTGGTTCTTACTTGGTTTCAGTAAGATTATTATTATTATTTTTGGAGGGGGTGGGTTTCCCCATGCATTTCCAGTACTGGTGCTCGCTATCAGCCCCGTCCTGCCAGCAAGGTCGGCCACCTCTCTGGCAGTGGTCCCCAATACTTCCCCATCTACTGGAGGAATTGGAAACTACTTGGGTGGGAAACTTTGCCTAATTTTGCTCAGAGGTCTCCTAGAGACATGAGGATCTTTTATGTGCCGTAAATCTACGACACAGGACACACAGCTTAAAGTCCCTCCTGGAGGACTTGTTCCCTGAACTTTTTTGTGCCCTTAAAATTTCCACGACCTCCGCCAGGTTTGAACCCGCATACCTTGAGTCATGAGGTGGGAACGTTACCCCTAGACTACTGAGGCCGCTTTCAGTAAGATAATGTTATAGCTTAAGGACAAATGTAATCTAAATATAAATAGGATATGAACTGATACTGAGATCTGAGTAATCAAACTTTGGGCATCCCAAGAAGCATAATTCCAGTGACAGCGCTTTTTATCCAGAGACTCTAGACTCTGGACAATTTATGTTACTGAAAATGTTGAGTTATGTCACCCAGTAAACTTTCTCAGTACTCTGCTTCAACAGCATCCCTCCTTGCCTGTGCATTATCATGATGTATTGCACCTCCCTCTCATGTGTTCCATGTGCTATGTCAGATTATATACAAATGCCATCTTGAAAAAAGTATGAGTTACAGTGACACTTTTATATCACAGGCAACCAGTACTCCTATACATGGGAAATGCCCTAATAAAAAGGTGCTGAGTTAGTAAAAAAACGCAATTATTTCTTTTTTTCTAAGGAAATTTTGTGAGCTTGTACACCCTATGGGTGTGGGTGAAAAAAAAAATTGCATGCTATACCTTGTAGTATCCTTCCTAGCAGGAATAAAAAGTGAAAAAGAATGTCTTTTTTTGGAACATAAGTTGTAAAACCTGCTATACCTTTGGCCCTAATTAAGCTACAAAGCTCATCTGAAAGCTAATAAAATCTAGTTTTCAATACAGTTTCATATGCCTAGTCAGCATCAGTCCTCTTACCACAAATTACGGTATTCAAAAGATAGAACAACTTAGTTTTTAAGAAAACACGTACCTTTCCAGGGGTGGATAATATAGTTTGGTAAAATTTAAGACCTACAATGTCTTTACTGACATTAAATGGTAAATGTCCCATCTGGATGCAGAAGAATGAAAGGACTAATAAGGGTTAAAACAACGATTAAATCAACAAAACAAAACACATACTCCAAAAGTGCTATTTTCTCTAACACTACTGTAATCACACTAATATTTAAATTATATTTGCAGTGTAACTGTACATAGAAAACAGTTCTAATAAGTTCTGTCACAATCTTAACATGCTACTACATGCTGATTTGAAAGTCTTATCAGGCTGGTTTTTGGCCACCTCTGTTCTGGACCCATCCTACAATACATATCCCTCCAAGCAGGATGGGGGCACACAACATCACTATAAAAGGAATTATCAGCATACATGTAGGAGTAAGAGTACTTATCTATAAACACCTGGAATAATTGCCAAAGGAACAAACTGTTATGTTAATGTGTAATGAGTAAATGTTAAAAATTACAACTGGCAGATTACATCTGCCACATTTGAAGTGGCCTGTTCACGAAGTCTGTAAGTGTCTGCATACAGAGTGAACACTGCTTACTCTAACTACTCAGAGACACAGCTTGATTGATAACAGTAGTTAATGAAACAAGAATGCAACTGTTCAGCATTGTTTACTGATGAAGAGCAAAAATGTATACATAAGAAGGTGGAAGTGAACAGAGAGAAAAGTTCAAAAGCAAGCAATATAAAATATTCTGAGTTAGCTGTCCACTAGTTCTTTGAGTCACTAATAAAAATGAAAGTGTCATGATGTTTATGGAAACCCATATGCACCATTATAAAAAAAATATTAAAATAAGAAATGAGAAAACATAATTTAAAGTTGATTGTCTATTATCTTTTCTGAGATCATTAATAAAAAGTTCATATTCACCTTGGAGCTCCAGAACCAACAAGGATGATATGTAATCACTTCCATTGCACATGCATTAAGGCCATGATAGGGCAAAAAGTGATAAAAAACTGAAGCTCTGATTACAATAAACATCACTTTTTTATGTATTAGTGTATATCTGACTGGGACTTCATAAAAGTGGTAACATAATCCATAATTACAATAGGTGGTATCTGCTGTACTTTGGAGGCAGTAGATGGCTGTAAATCAACCTCTGCACTTCTGAATTGTTCACAGCTGTACATTGCACATATTTTCTTCAACTTCACCATAAATGCCAATTCCTGAATCTACAAACTTAATAATGTTGTGTTTTAGATGTCCTGTTGCACTGATTTAAGTCCATGATTTATTTCAACCGTCTTCCAGTGCATACACTCATCTATCTCACTCCTCTCTCTCGCACTACATGTTTCGGCATAAAAGTGCCATCTTCAGGTGCTTATTCGATTTACGTTAAACTAGTTCACTGCATGCCTTGCCGTCTTCATATTGAAATAACTAAAATATATATTTATCATATATATTGATAAATATTAAATGTTAAAAATATTAAAATTGTTCAG